AAAAGAACAGCATTTGTTTTGAAATAGAAATCTTTTGTGACATTATAAATGTCTTTACTCTCACTTTTAATCAATGTTAAGTGGGTACTTGATGAATAAAAGTAATAATTTCTTTAAAAATTAAATCTTACCTCAATCCTTTGAATGATAGTGTGCATAGGCTAACATTTAAAAATGGTGCAGTTGGAATCGGCCTACTTCAAAAAGAATTACTAGCTCTATTGCAAAATCTAATGCTGTGGACTGTAGGCCAGTGATCGGCTTATGTTTCCTCATTTACTGTTGATGATGTCTTGAACATGGTCTTCTGGATTCTGAGAATAATTTAGATTACTCGTTTTGGCAACCTGCTCTGTGCGTGCTTTCTATTGATGCAGATCAGAAAAGAGAGAGTGTTTTTCTAGTTTGCCCTTATAAGGCTGTACATGATCTGTCTTTAGATGTACTGCAATCAGGTAACCAAAAGCGCAATCTGACCTATATTAAATGTCAAACCTATAACCTTCTGTTGTGGCACTGCTAAAAGGGACCCTTATCCAGTCTTCACAGGCACATTAAACTGTCCTCAGGGACTATCCCCTGTCATTTTAGTGATTGTGTACCAATGTGCAGTTCTTATGTCCATATGGGCATGGAGCAGGAGTTTTTGTTAACTGCAGTTAGGATGGCATGTGTGAACATGACAAACGGAGCATTTCTGTATAGCCATTGTTTTGACCTGCAGTGTTAACCATTTCCCTGCTCTAGGGTGGAAGCTTTTTCAGATTAGGCATTAGTTTACAGTCCCATTCATGTTAAAACATAACATTCAAGAATACAAAGAGTCTGTAGCAGTGTTGTATCTTTCTCGCTTTAAAGCAATATGCTGTTTGGTTGCTTAAATCACTATCTATTCTTAATTTCTTAGAGCATTATTAGGAACTCACAGCATATCAACTTTCAGAGGAACAGGCCCTGAGAAATAGGGGTTAACTGAGGTAGAAGTTTATTTCCATAGTCTTGCCAGGCTGCCACTGAGAATAACACTGATGTGTTTGGCCAGAAATGTTGTAGTGGTTAGCTTCATTCAAATGTCAAGCCAGCAGTAACCTGTAGAGATCATTTGTTATGCTATATTCACATTTTGAGTTCTGTGTTCATGTTCTAACAAATGAAAAAGTTCTCAGCCTGATTTAAAAAGATAATTGGTAATGCAAAACTTGAATGCCAAAGAAGGCCTTTCAGTAGAAGTTAATGCAGTCCATAATATGATGTAGTTACATGAAGCACTACGTGTTTGATTGTTTTCCTCTGATTGATCAGCGATTATGAACTACATAACTATTGAGATCTGTCTGTTCTGCTCAACACAAGACTGATTCATGAAGTTGTCATTGTAGACCCTGTGGTGGTTAATCAGTTTATGTCATTGTCTTTGTAAATGTCTGATCCAGCTGATCTAAATTAGTAGTACTCTGTGTTTTCAGACGGTTGTGTTTTCAGAGCGATATCTGTTACTCTTCCTTTGTGTCACTCTTCCCACGTTTCCGTTTCATGCCCATAATGGATTCCTGTGTTGGAGCCCTCACAATGGGCTTGACTTCTGAAGCGCCCTTTGTCACAGTACTGCAGGACTGCAGCCTGACTAATAAAACATATCTAGAGGAATTCTTCCCATGGTGCTGATCTCATAGCTTTTACACATACTCTTTCGACAGGCTGACAGTTGCTTAAATCAGATGTGATCACTAACACAGTTAGTACTCTGATATGTTGTGCAGTATGGGTATTACTGTTTATCCTAACACTTCCTTTTAAACGGTGTTCTTGAACTGATTCTGTGGTGTGAAGGTCAGTTATACCTAATCACTTATTTTTGTCAAATCTTAGATGCATAGCAAATACCTTGTCTTGAGTTGGAGCAGTGAATGCAGAAACGGAGGCAGAGGCCATGTGTGAATAATCTCATTCAGTGTGACATGAAGAATGTGCCAAGTCACAGTTTCTCTCAAGGATTCTGTGTCCCCTCTGTCATATTTGGTTTTGCCACTCGCTTACCCTCAGATGAACCTAGAGCGATCCTTTCCTTCAAAGGTTTGAACCAATACTGTATAAATTATTAAACTGTGCCATTGCCTTGTTTTCTTTCTGTAGACAGTAATTTAATAATGACATGATAATAATGATATTTTAATGATGTTAAATTATTAAACTCAATTTTTAATAATGACTTTTTTTTTTCTTGAGTAAGAATCCATGTGTAATCAGTTGTCTAAAATGCAAGAAGTCCCTAAAAAAAACTCCCTGTGTTTTGAGGCTTCCCATAGTTCTGCTTTATGATGTGATTTAACAGTAGTAGCTATTGTTGTATGACTGGGCTTGACCGGTTACAGTATATGAGGTTAGGAAAAGCAGCAATAGCAGAACTGTCTAACATATATCAATCATTTGTGTGCTTTGCATTACTGTTTATGTAGGATATGAAGTGCACATGACTTGCTTGTGTAACAAATGAGTTTGGATAAAAGATCTCAGTTCGCTTTAATGTGTTAGTTTGTTTGCTCTAGTCTCTGTTGGTTTACCCTTCACATAAGGGCATCAGAGGAACTTAAAGATCCTTTGGTGGTTACATGTTTGTGTGTGATATCCTACTTTTAGAATATCCCTGTTTTATGTTTTCTATCTCACTTTCATAATCTCTTGCCCACATGCCTTCACTTCTTTTCTTCGCTTCATTCTTCTCTCATGAACACAACTGTGGGTATCTAGGGGAACGTTCAGCCCCAGTGATGTACGGTTTTAGACTGAAAAGACCGGTTTATGGTACCACATTTGCTGACAGTAAAATTCTTGGCAGATCTATTAGCCTGTATAATAAGAGGTTGAATATAATTTATTGAAAGGCTATATGCTTGCATGCAAAGAATGTGTTAAGTATATATTTGTCTAAGTGAGATGTTGAGGGAATTGTTTTAAATGTGTGTGCCACACTCTCTCTCCATGAAACTATACTTCCTTCTCTGTGTGCTTGTGTGTGTGTGTGTGTGTGTGTGGCATATGACATCCTGGCTGCTTGTTGTGACATCCTTCCAAGCAGCAGCAAAACAAAATTTTCATGTGTTCTTCATGAATGTTATTTGCGAATGTATAGTTTGTGTGAGCAAATGTGTTTTTGACCATCATAATGTCTGTGTTCCTTTGACACTGAACTTTGTGTGTATGTGTGTGTAACATTATCAGTAGCAAGCAGATGTCTGTGGTGGACCACATCATTCTCCATGCTGTCATGGACTTTACCGCTGAGCTCAGATGCCTGGCTGAAAACACACACACACACACAATCGAATGACATCAAGGGATCCAGTGGCCAATGATATTCAATTCTCGTGGGACATTAACTTGGGCACATAATGTACAAATATTCACTGTTCATGACCAGTCTGGTTTTGTAAATCAAGATGATCTCGGTGTTCTTTTGAAATTATTATTCATGCCAGATATTGTGGGATATACATCTGCCAAGTTGAGAGCTTTAAAAGTTTAGTAATGCATATTAATATTAACATATGAATTTAACACAAATTAGAGCTTTACTACCTTTATGTGTGCAAGACACTGTTTGCTGAGTCTTATTATGTGTGTGCTGCAACCAGATTTCATAATCGGGTACGATTTTAAAACTCCTGTAGTGTGAGCCCGACTTTAGACCTTTTGAACCAGCAGGTTTAAAGTTTAGTTGCATTGCAAACGCTTGTTTTCAAATTATGCTATTCCCAGGCATTGAGGAATGACTGTTTATTAAGCATCTCTGCAAATTTTCCAAATAAACAGTTGGCAAAAGATGGTGAATCAGTCTGAAAGTATAAGAGAGGCTGTTTGTAGCACACATTGCGTGAGTGTATCAGCTTGCATTAGCTATTTGAGGAAGATCATGTGTCTGCCGTGCCAGTTTCTTTCAATTCTCACAGTAGGCACAGGCTAACCAGCTGGACTGAAAGATCTGAGCATGAACGTGTGTGTGTGTGTGTGAGCTTTAATGTTGTAATTTACACCACCTTAGTGATGGACGTGCTTCCTCTTTCTTTCTCTGTTATTTATAATGTACAGAACCAGTCAGAATTTAGATGCATACATGTTTATTAAAGACCTTACATAAATGGATCTTTATTATTAACTGTTTTTTGCATTTGTAGACGTAAATTGTGCCTATGAAGGTCTTTACAAAACTAAAATTTTAATTTCACACACCTTTTTAATGGATTAGTTGGACCACATAGTGAAGGAAATGAAGGATTTCTCTTGAAGCTGGTTGAGAGAATGTGTAGGCACAGCTTTTTTCTAAAATATATGGAAATAAATCAAATCTGAAATATATTATATCTAAGAGTTTTGGTTTTCTTAGTATTCCCATGCTTCCATTTGTGTTTTTGCAGTTTTGATGTATATGTAGTTGCTCTAAGATGTGAAAAATTGTAAAAAAATGAGTAGGTGTGTCTTTTGACTGGTACGGAGTACAACAATTGTAAATGCTTGGAGAAAATAAAACTCTAAAGGTGTGTTAAATGGTTTTACTTGAATGTGTCATGACTAACCTGTCAAGTCAAGTGCTGAACATGTGAAAGGCATTTATATGACAGGAATGACTGTTTACAGGTAGTCAGTGACACCACCCCTCATTTCCTCTGATTCTGAATGATAAGCCAGTTAGAGAATTCCTAAGATCCGATGCCTAATGATGCCATGTTTTTATCAATGCAAAGGGTTTGCTTGTGTTTACCACCACACAAATTGTACTGGTAGGATCTGGCTTGCTGAGTGAGTTACACTGAATCAGATACTGTGCCTTAGTCATACTGTGAAGGTCAATCTTTGTCAGTAGGTATCTTGATATGGTGCGTTTAAGTTCACTTTGAGAATGTGTCACTGCAATAATAACAATCTTTGCCTCCTCGATACAATTACTGATGCCCTTGTCAGTTGACTGATAAATAACCAGTTTCCCCCCTTTCTCCCTCTTATAGAGAAGTTGTATAATTCCCATGGTCCTGAGCTTCGGCGGTCCTTGTTCTCATTAAAGCAACTCTTTCAGGTAAGATCATGAAAAACACACTCGACAGGTTTTTAAGAGAGAAAAAGCTATATGTGAGTGAGTTGGATAAGGACGATGAGATGCTACAGACAGGTTCTGAAGCCCCCTGCAATGATCTGAATGACCCACCCCTCCGACCCCTCGGAACCCCGTCGATTACCGTTCGATGCAGACGATCACTGGTGTATTTAGAAAATCACTGATAAATTCAAACGTGTTTTTGTGCTTTGTCTGGCACTGAGCCAGAGACGCACTCAGTGCTTTTCATAGACTATATCACAATAATTCAGTGTTTTAAACCACATAAAATTTATTTTAGGTTTCAGACATTTAAATTAATTACTAGCAATAAAGACATTTGTTAAATGCATGGATTTGTGAGTTCGTTAAATACACTGGTGTCTAAGGAAAGCTGCAATAGCCTAATAATCCTTTTAATTAAAATCTGACAATGTGTTTTATTCACATAAAGGTTGTGTAGTTAAACATAAAGTTCACTCTGTTCTTCTCCTAGTTCAAAGGTGACATACTTTTATGTATTTTGGGAGAAATGGGTGAATTCACGTGATGTTAATCCAAAGATCCGATTCTCTGAATGAGCATTATAAAGTTTTGACATTTGACAATCAGAATCCCCTCCAGTCCCCCCCCTGAGAATTATACAATTATACATTATATTTGAACAGGATGATAAGGACTTGGTTCCAGAGTTTGTGATCTCCGAGGGTCTGACGTGTTTCATTAAAGTGGGTGCTGAGGCAGATCATAACTACCAGAACTACATTCTCAGAGGTTTGTACTCCACATCACGTCTTTACTGAAACATATGCAGAACTACTACAAAATAATTCATGCATGCCTCCATTAAAACGTTTAACATTGTTACAGGGTTATTGATAGTTCTTTCACTAATCATCATTTACATGATGACTTGATGTGTGTATATCTATCGGAGTTTCAAAATGCAGTCTAATATGGTGTATTTATTATGCATGAACACCACACATCTTGCATGCAGACTTCAAATAGCACAAAGGATTTTGCACATTTTTGGCTAAGTAGGCCATCTGTAACAGGAAGTTTATACTGGCTGGAATTAGACCAGCAAACAGGAAAGCTTTAGGACAAATCACTAGATCCTTAAGGACATGCCGGCACTGTACAGTAAACTCTGCTGTCCTGTTCCCAGCTCTCAGTCAGATCATGCTGTTTGTGGACGGAATGAACGGTGTTGTGAACCACAGTGAGACAGTACAGTGGCTGTACACACTGACTGGCAGCCTGGTGAGTGACAGCAACACACACACCACAGCATCTGTAAACACCGACCACAATATAGTATTAGTACACTGTTCCATCAGTGGCTGTGTATTAATGCACCTTGACATTTTAATACCGCATCATGCCAGCTGATTAAGAGTCATTAGATCCATGTTCAAAAGTGAATTGAATGTGATAACCATTTGGTTCCTGAGGGCTGGATTACATTTACTGTACATTAACTCACTGAGCAAATGCTTGTCTGCTAAATTATCCAAAGCAACTTACAAATGCTTTTTTTATAGCTCAAACAGAACAGCATAGTGCTAGACACATTGAAGTTGCTTTGGATTAAAGTGGCTGCCAAATGTGTAAATTTAAAAAAAAAGGAAGAAAAGAAAAGAAATGCAGTTCAGCAAAACAGTCAGTTCATCCTAAGGCAATGTAAAATTAGAAAAAAAATATAAGGTTGGCCAGAAAGGTCCAAGCTAGTGCAGAGATGTAGGTGTGAATCTGGAGCAAATTCAAGTATTTTGACCTTTACTCGCAGCCTTCACTTATAATTATTAAAGTTAAATATTAATACTATAGTTTGCCAAATCTACCACAGAAATGTTTATTACTAGTTACTGATATTAAAATGGCCATAATAAACTGGCTGGTGCTGTTGTGCAACCATTTCAAGTTTGGGCCATTGCTCTTGTTGAGTTTGCATCTTTATAAGTTTAAAATATGTATGTATAGTTTGGGAAGTTTCTTATTGCAAAGTTAGTGTGAATCTTTTGACATGAGATTTGTACACTTTTTACCGTAATGGATTCAGTCATCTTGAGCATCAGTTTGAGGTCATATCCTTCTGCATGAAATTAAAGAGGAAGTGAAAACGAGAATGGCAGAGTAATCAAGTAACTATCAGAAATAAAACCTGAACCAGACTGTTTTTTACAACAAACACAGAATACTAGTGGTAAATTACTGTATCAGTGTTGGAGATGCATGCAGTATTTGATTACATTAGAAACATTATAACTCAGCCTCATTGAGGTTTGATCCTGCCATCTTCTGTAAGAGGATGGTAAATGCTGCCTCTTTTATAGCCTATTTTTCTCATTCCCTTTCTCTTCAGTCTCGGCTGGTTGTGAAGACGGCTCTGAAGTTGCTGATAGTGTTTGTGGAGTACACTGAGTCCAACAGTCCACTGCTTATTCAAGCTGTCAGCATTGTGGATGGCAAGAGAGGTTAAACACATTTAAACATTCTCTCATAATACTGATACTCTGAATCCATCATGTGCCATTCATTCGTTTTTTCTGTCATTATCCTCACAGTAACTTTTTATAGAGAGAGAGCTTAAGGTTTATGTTATCTTTTTCAGGTGTAAAGCCTTGGGCGTATCTAACAGAGATCCTGTCAGAGAAGAATGGATCAGACACAGAGCTGCTCATCTACACCATGACCCTCATCAACAAGGTAAACCACAGATTACACACCCAAATCTACAACCGTGATGCACATCAGCACAATGTTGAGCCTAAATGTCCTTGATGTGTATTTATCCCTCTTGCTTCCCAGACTCTGTCTGCACTTCCCGATCAGGACTCATTTTATGACATGACAGATTGCTTGGAGCAGCTAGGAATGGAAGGCATCGTCCAGAAACACATGACTAGCAGCGGCACCGAGGGTGACCTTAAACAACAGTTCATCATTTATGAGGTAAACTCCCAGTACACATCAAACACTCCATATCTCCAATATATAGACTTTTTAGTTTGGGGTCAGTAAGATTTTTATTAATAGTTTTATTTTTAATAAAGAAATTAATGCTTTTATTCAGCAAGGACACATTAAAGTGAACAAAAGTGACAGCATTACATTTATATAGATTTCTGTTTAAAATAAATGCTGTTCTTTTGAACTTTCAATAAATCAAAGAATCCTGAAAAAACTATTACCGTTTCCAGCACAACAGTTTTCAGCATTTGATAATAATAATAGTAGATGTCTCTTGAACACCAAAACAGCATATTTTAATGATTTCTGAAGGATTATGTAAAGACGTGGCTGCTAAAATTTCATCTTCAGGAATAAATTACATTTTTAATCACATTAGAAAATGGTCCTTTTAAATTGTATTAATATTACAGTAATTGTAGTAATTGTCTTTACGGTCCCACTTTATGCAGTATTAACTAAGTGGCCTTAACTGCTAATGTACTTACATTTAAATTAATCATTTGATGCAATGCACATATTGTGTACATACATGTTTTTACCTTGTACTTATATTTTAAAAAATACCTACAGGTAATTACATCTGTAATTAACCTAGCCATACCACCAAACCTGTCCTTAACCTTACCTGTATCCCACCACAATATCAGCAAAAGTGTTTTGCAGTAGAATATGAACACAATTTTTTGATGCAGGTACATAGTAGTTAAGGCCACCTAATATAAAGTGGGACCGTCTTTACCATTTGTGTGATCAAATAAGAGCAGCTTTGGTGAGCATAAGTGTCTTCTTTCAAAGTCTTAGTTAAAAATTCTGACTCCAACCTTTTAAATGGTAGTATAACTCTAAAAATACTGAATGATTTCTGTGTTTTGTATATTATGTAGAATGCCCTCAAGAATGAAGATGGTGAGATCGATGAAGGGGCACCAAATGTCCGTAAAGACCGAAGGAAACTGACACCCAGCGAGCAGGAGGGCAGGAGGAGCCGACGGTCATCTCACAATCTTACAGATAGTTCCTTTCGACCAGCTTCCCCAACTGTATCAGTCTCGTCTAACAGCCCTACCCCAGGTATCTTCAATGCAGTCTCTCTCCGTCCCTGTTCTTGTACCTTGTGCTGTCCTCTGAAGGGCCTGTCTCACACATCCAGTGTCTGCACATTGTCATTTCAGACCTAATGTTAAAAGACTATAGCATTCATTCACACTTCACTTGCACCTTTTGTGTTTCAGAGGTGATGCGAACAGCCTTCCCTCAGCTGCCAGATTCCTCTTATTCTCCTGTTCCTGGCAGTCCTGTGTTGACCAGTCCCTCCTCTATGACCCCTGGCTCTCCCACTCCTCCTGTCACTCCGCCGACTAATGGAGCAGAGTCTACAGATACAGCTGAGCAGGAACACAACTTGTGAGTATTAACAGTGCAAATATGTTTTGTATTACTAAGCTTTTCAATAATCTAACAGCAAGGATGCATTGAAGGACTTTCATACAGCAATGTGATGTTTCTCCACTGTGTGGCAGCGTAAACTAAGCAGACCTTTCAGTCGTGACACTGTAGGAAAGAAAAGGTTTAATTAAGGATGATTTGTAGCCTTCACAGATGTGAATCCATTCTGAGATAGATTATTCAAGTAAGGAAAATTTGTGTCTCAAGTTTTCACCCAACAATAACATTCATTCATTTGTTCATTCATTCATTCATTCATTGGTTCATCTCATGGATTCAATTCATTAGGGATGCACCGATACTGGTATTGGTATCGGGCCCGATACTGAGCTCCTGTACTCGTACTCGTACTCGTTAAAATGCCCCGATACCAAACGCCGATACCACACAACATGTGATAAGTGCCATATTCAGACAAAGAAACACTTGTCAACAGAACAACAGACAGCAGAATGGAGTTATTAGAGATTAAGGATGTATACGAAGTATATGTATGCAATGAATATAATGTTAAACATTCGGTATTAACGTCTGTATAGCTGGTGTGCGCGAGCTGATAAGCAAATTGAGCGTGCGTGAGTGGATTGAGCGCGCGGCAGCGCAGATGCGCGAGTTTGTCGAGTGAATATACCTTTCTCACAGACATCACTGGAAAGTTTGTAGTTCGGTCGGATATGTCATAATAATTTTTCGTTGATTGTAATCCATTACATACCTTTCTATCAAAGTTATATAACATTATCAAGCTGAATTTGTTCTGACACAGTTTAACTCTGAGTTCTTGTCATATTTTATTACCATTTTCTAAACTATAGCAAATAAACTTTGTTTATGTTAATGTGATAATGTGAGAAATGTTGAAGGTGTCTGAATAAATTTTGGTTTGACTGTATCTATTTGATAAATGAAGTTAACCAACTAACATTATACATACTCTTTTGGTTTCTGTACCCAATATTTAAAAAAATGTACAAATGCAATAAAAATATTGGTATCGGTACTCGGTATCGGCAAGTACCAAAAATAAAAGTATCGGTATCGGGCGAGTACTGGAAAAAGTGGTATCGGTGCATCCCTACAATTCATGTTTGGATTGTATGGATTATTAAGGCAACAGCTTTTCTGTTTAGTGTAATGCACAATAATTAATTTTCAAACATATCAACGGCAGTCCCTTTCATTTTTTCCCCCAGTTTTAGATTTAGCAAATTTAGTACTTCAACTTAGTTGACAAAGCAACATTTCTATTTATTAATTAATTAATTTATTTAAAATGATTGAACATGACACGGACACCAGTATGGATAAATTTTTTTTGTTTGTTTTTATTTATATAAAATTAATAAATGACACCCACACCAGTATGGATTTTATTATTATTTATTTTAAATTCATTAATTAATTCTATTTATTTATTTAGTTAGTTAGTTGGCTGGTTAGTTAGGCGGTTTTTTTTTTTTTTTTTGCCTGACCAAACATTCCTTCCAGATTTGTGTTTGTTGTTTGACTATGTATTTTTGTCCTGTGTGGATGAGGGTATGATAAAGACACAATCCTGCACTCTGATGCTGTCTTCCTTATGTAGACACACAGCATTTATTCACACACTAATGTTGTCATCAGTGCAGTCTTTTAATGTAATGTTTGTCACATTGGAAAACTATACGATTAGCACCTTCCTACTTTACCTACTGTGTCCAGCCTAACTGTGAATCTGCTACATGTTGCACGGTCATTATCAGAGGCTTTACACATGACAGTGATTGATACATGCAACATTAGTGGTAAAAGTGACGAGTATTAATTTTCCTGTCTGTGTAGGTGAAGTCCTTAGACAGGTGACCTATTACTTTGATTCATGTAGTTAATGCTTATTTTATTTACTACGCTCTGGGTGTCTTATGTAATTACCATGTGGCACCCAAGATGCACCACAAAATGATCGACCATTCTCATTTTTCATAAACCATTTATAAAAACATAATTGTGCATAGAAAATATAGGCTACTATTTTGTTATATTGATAACGCAGATCTGCATCACACGTGAGTAAACAGCGTTACGTTGTAGTTACATGTATGCATATAAGCTTGTGAATTTCATTTTACATTTTCAGATTGTCAGGTGTTTCTGGTTTTTGTAGATGGGGTATGTGAGAAGTTTGGGTTGGTTGCTTCTCCCAGTTTGCCCAAATCACAATGTGCTATTTCAAATGTTGCCTTTGGCCAAAGTGAAATGTCTTATTGAGTCAACAGTCCTTGCACATATATGTGGAAAGTGAATGTTTTATTTGGGAAGCTTTCCTCTCTGCGTAGAGCTACATGATTGTTTTCTAGGGTTGGACAGGATGTGTTTGGTCTTAAAGGTCCAGAACTGGGCACAATTGTGATCAGCCTATCAGCTCTCTTGATCTGAGCTTGTGTTTTCCTCTAAATATTTTGCTATTTTTATGTGACGTCCAGTCATAAGCACAGGCATTAAATCCAATAATACAGCAGTTTATACTTTATTTTTACAAGATATGATCACTTTAACTGCATATACCTAGTTTTATGCATATGCATACATAGTAGTACATAATTAAATGGCATAATTTATATATAGAATACATAAAGTTAGCATTATTTCTAAAACATCCATGTCGCATAAATGATCTTTAAGGAGAAGTATTTGTAATATTTGTCTAACACTGGTAACCATTCACTTTAGTGTATCCTTAATTATAACAATTTCTGTTCATATGCTGTTTTCCTCCTCTTCTAATTCAGTGCTGCATATTTTCTCAGTGGCTCTGGGTGGTTGGGACTGTTTCTCTGATTCTTGCTGATGTTTTGGTCTTGTCAACATATTAACGCTCTGTTTGTCCATGTAACCACCACCACTGTTCCTCCTCTTCCTCTCTACTTCCGTTTCTTCCCTCCCACAATTCCTCGGTCATTCACTAGGGGGCGCTCTTTTATGAGTCAGTACATAGCTCACATGGGGATTTCTAGACGGAGGTTAAAAAAGGAGAGGTCTATAACAGAGGAAACCTCCAGCATCTCCAGCAGGTCTGTATCACATTTAAATCACTTTCTGCTTTTGAGGACTAATTGTTTGGTGTTTGTTGAACTTGTCCTGGCTACTGATCTGATGCCAGTTTAGAGCTCATATTATATTCAAAGTAATCTGGATTTTGGATTGAAGTTGTAGATCAGCAAGCCAGAGTAACTTCAACAATAAATTCATCTCATTTCAAACTTTCCTGAACTAACAAGAATTACAACATATAACGCTCATGCACATGTAATAGTTTTTTTTCCAGTGTCTTTTTTTAATATCTGACATTTGACAAGGTGCATCACAAATATACAACCAATGGCCACATAAAACAAGACTACAGAATCTGAATATAAATCTTACATAATAGCACTCTGAACAAATGGAGATGGGGTTTTTGCAGTGAGTAGTTGGCAGTGGCGGCAGAGGATTATTGTAGCGCACTAAAGAAGTCCTGAATGCTGCTCTCTCGAGCAGAACTGCAGAAGAAGCCTCTCACAGCTTTCTGCTCACTGCAGCCGTGATGTCAGCTCATCTGCGAAATGATAAATAAAAGTGCTGACTCTAATGAAGCAGCAGGAGGGTTCAAAGTGATCCATCTGAAGAAACATCACGTACAGTATATTAGATTAGCAAACTGCTGTTACAGCTGGCCAGTGCTGATAGTCATTTATTAGTTTATGAAATGATACTGATTTAGTAATAATATGAATTTGAGGCATTCATGACTATACTACTACTACTACTTATTATTATTATTATTATTATTATATGTAGAATTTAGGAAATTTATGCTTCAGCAAGGATGCATTAACTTGATCAAAAGTGAAAGGAAAGACTTGTTTTAAAGACAAGTTTAAATTAAATCTGTTCTTTTGAACTTTCTATTCATCAGAGAATGCTGAAAATGTATCAACAGTAATAATAATAAATGTGTATTGGACACCATTTCTGAAGGATCATGTGATGCTGAAGACTAGATTAATGGTAAAAAATCAGTTTTACCATCACGGGAATAATTTACATATTAAAATGTATTAAAATAGAAAACAGTTATATTGTTAAAATGCACAATGTTACTGTATTTCTGATCAAATAAATGCAGCCTTGTTGGTAAGAGACTTGCTGACCCACAAACCGTTTAACGGTAGTTTATGTCGAAATTAACCAAGATTAATAAATGCTGTGAAGTTATTCGTTGTTAGTTCATTTTATCGAAAACATTAACATATGTTAACCTTATTTTAAATTATGTTTTTCTCAAAGGAGCTGTATTAGCATTGTACCTGTAAGGAAAGCAGAATATGAAAATTAGATGAAACAAAGCAATGTGCCTTCAAATGTTGTGTATTTTGGAGTGGATAGAGAGAGACGCACGTTTACTGACATGCACATTCTTTTTGTGTTTGTGTATGTGTGGACCTGATTTACATCAAACTGCCCATAGTGTGCTATAGCCTTTAGCTTGCACTAACTAACTGTCTCTCCACAGAGCGTCTTTCACAGAAACAGACTCTCCTCAGGAGATCCCTTCCCAGACGGGAGCAGAGCAGCCCAGCCGGACGGAGGGAAAGCGAGTCTTCAAGTAAGCAACTGATCCTGTGATCCTGAAAAGGCAGAGGAAAGAGATGTGAAAGGAGGTGTAGCAATAAGAGAAGGCAGGGCATGGGAATATTTTGGGAAGAACTTGAAGGTCTTGAAGGAGCAAAACAAGGATGAGTTGAATGGCGTGAGCTGTTTTGAACAGTGTGATCAGTGATAATTTATATGGGAATCTACTGTTAACTGCAGTTATAGGAAAATAGATAAGTCTTCCATTTTTGAGGTGTCAAAAAATACTGAATTTACTAAATGTTAAAGTGTTTAGTTAATTGTTCTCAACTTATAACTTTAAAACTATCTGGAATTGCTACACTGAGGATTATTCCTCTTATTTTCCCTCCAATGCCTAGGATCAGGTGTTTCTTACTTTTATCTTTCTACTTCTACTCAAATATTCTTTGCTTGTATTTTTTGTAACAGATTTGCTTTCTTTAATGTTCTTTGACTGGTCTATTTTTCTTTCTGTTTTTGCCAATTACCTAATTTACCCATCTTGTTTTCTCTGTCTCCTTTTGTGTGTATTCTCTCTCTGTCTCCCCTGCATCTTTCACTCCTCTCCTCTCTTCTCTCATAATATTTGGCACATCTCCTAATCTCTTCCTCCACTGCTGTGGCGCCCAACATTCCTGCGCTTTGCTTTTCTCTCTCCTTTTACAGACAGCAGCAGGCAGACAGTGTTTGGTGAGTAGCTGCAGTGTGGCCAAAGAATGTGGCTTTTGGAGGTGCTAGCACTTTAAATCATTCTGATGCTTAGTCATTTTGGTGAGACAAAGTCATAGAGGGAGAATTGGAGGAAACAACTACTGGCTGGAAATTTGAGAATAAATTGAATCGATCCATTACATCTGCCAAAGACTAATCCACAAAAAAAAAAATTCCAACAAAATTAAGAAGTTTTAGTAGATATATTTAATGTATGTTTAACTTTTTAAACTATAATTTTTTCTTTTATAGTTTGCTATGCTACTTGGATATTTATGATTTCTGATAGTTCTGACATAACATATTTAGCAACGTTTAGAAGTGAGAGAATTACTTTTATTGTCATGAATGGACAATAATTCTTTCCTCTGTGGCCTCTTCCCCCTCATTGTCATTCTTTATTCTTTAAAGTTCTTCTTTCATCTCAAGTTGCTACTCAAAGATGCCTTTATCTCCTGCCTTTTTATGGGCTGCAATCATATCCCCATTCATGGAAAAAAAATTGCTATTGTTGAAATTGCCACAAAAAAAAAAATCCACAAAGCATTTTTTTCAAAGCTTAAAAGCCAATGTAATACCAGATGTGGTGTAATGTGAACAGGTTTTTCTAAAGGTATTTTCTATACATTTAATGAGCCTTGTGCAGTGTAGTGAACAGGAGTGATATGGGCAAAGTGTGTAAATTGAAATGTTTTTCTTCAGTCCAGAGAGTGTGAATAGAGACTTGCCAGTTCTGAGGAATTATGAGTAAGTATACAGCAGCTCTGTATGGTTACAGGCTCTCTTTCTGCATACATCAGCATGCAGCCAGGTGTTTGGGGGCTAACTCAGAAACTGAGGCTGTGTGTGAATATTAACCTTTAGTTTGGCTATTTATTTTTAATTTCATGTAGTATGATCCCTATATTAATGATTCTACATAGGTAGAATTAACACGTATTAATGCAGTGGCATTGGGATTAACAATTACATTCTTATCTACTGCCTTTAAAAAAAAAAAAATCTTATAAAAGATTTCATCATCAATATGTCGTTCATGTGAAGCAGTTTATTCTCGGCGCACATGCTTCAGCGTAACACTGAGTTTACCACAGTTCTTCTGGTGGATCACTGTGGAGTTAATCAAACCTGATCAGCATGGTGGTTATTGAAACAAGTAATCATACAGAAAATTTGGTTTCTACATGTATCTAAGCTTAAAAATTAAATTGGAAATTGTGGGAAATAATTTCTAAGAATTTATATGGTGGTGGTTGTGGTGGTGGGCTTTGTCAGACACAGGGCTGGATTTCTGTGATAGGACACAAGGGATTGTTTTTAAAATGCATTTATTTATTCCATATTGCTTACCTGTGCCTTTTTTGTGTGAGTGAACATTTTTTATCTGTTTTCTCTTTGCAATATAACTGCATGGTATCAAACAAGCGTATAATAACCTTTAAAATAATATTTTTTTAGTGTACTAAATAGAAGAAAAGTCTGGACAAACAGAAAGTTTTCAGTCCCAAAAGCTTAAATTTTTTACTATATGCCATTGTGATTTGAACTAGTTTATGGTTTCACTGTATTCTGCAACCACTCATTTCAGAGCAGGTCTACTATATATAACTTATCCTCAGAATCAGAACACTTAATGTCACCCAACCCTCCATTTACAGCCCAGTAAGTGAGTGCTTCTTCTCCGTTGGCTTTATAGAGACGATTTCTTGCGTAGTCTAGCTGCATCCCAGTGGGAGAAGAAAAAGAAGTCATACGGCGCCCATGAGAGACCTTCTCTAAGCGAGAGTGTGGCACCTACAGACATAGAGGCATCTACTGAAGCCGAGCAGCCAGTCTCCAGCTCAACCACCACAGGTGCTGATATCCTGACCTTCTGTTCTTTACAATGTCACACTGTTGTCCTTTACAATATACATTGACTTCTTTCTTTTTCAGTCTTCTGCATTCCATCTTTACACTACTCCTTGTCTCTTTTTGTCTAGTTGTTCTCTTCCTCTGCTTGTCTTTCTATCTATCAAGACTCCAGTCATGATCTGACATGTTAAACTCTCTGCTTTCCCCTGATCAGTGAAGCTTTAATCCCGAATGCATATGAGTGTGTGAGCGTATTTGTGGTCATTTATTTGTCTGTTAGTATGTGTGAACTGTCATGAATAATTGCGAGCTTGTCTACACTCTGTATGTCAACTTCTTGAGGTTATTGCACATACTGTTAATTGCCAAGTCTGGAATGTGCTCTGATTGTTCTAGAGCAAGTTTGTCACGATTATGTAATGTGTCCTGCTGAGATTCATAACTTTCAGCAGCGTTCCAACTGTGATGGTTCTGACTGCTTTTTAGAGCTGCACACTTTTAATTATTGCTTGTATGCGTGTCATCCGGTTTATGTCAAGCATAGATAGGAAGTTGCCTAACTTGATTAATGTTGTAAGGTTGGGATGAACTTTTTGTTCTTCTTCTGGAATCATGGGTCTTACAGGGCTGAAATTTGCTAATTAAGTGTGAGGTGATTGATTGTTATGGAAGCAGAAATGCTAGTTGGACAACTGCATGCATGTATGTACCTGCTAGTCCACATCACTGCTGTATCTAAAGAGCTATATCTCATCAAGAGTAAATTAAATGCACTAATAAACTACTATATGCAGGGAAACTATATTATATTACTATATTATTACTATATTAAATTGATGGTTCACCCAAAAATAAAAATGGTCACTTTTTCATCCTCATGTTGTTTCATACCTGTATAACTTGCTTTCTTCTGTGGAAAACCAAAGATATTTTGAAGAATGTCAGGGTGCTCATTGACTTCCATTGCAGGGACAATAACATTGAGAAAAAATAATAATAGTAAATTTCAAATTATTTTCTTGAAGACCGACAGAATTTTAATTTGGGGGTCAACTATCTATTTGTGTTGTTTTGTTGTTAACAAAAACTTTGAATGAAACTATTAATGAATCCTTTTTTTGGGGGGGGGGGGTTAAGAGGAATAAAGGTCAAATAAAATCTAAATATTACATGAAAATAATATTTTCTTAATTAAAAATGCATTACAAATGGCAAAAGCACATAACAACTAGAACTTAATGTTTTAAAATTAAAACAGAAAATATAAAAATAAATGCTAATTCAAAATAAATAATGAATGCCATAGTATATAAATAATATTAAAACTAAAACTAATATTAAATTCTTTTGAACTTCCTTTGGCGACTCCTTGTTAACAAATGCATTTTCTCAAATCAAAACTGAGTAGATGTGTGAAGTAGATTAGCAGAAAAGGACCATCTTTTAGATGTTAGTAGTGTGTTTCATGAGGTGTTACACATTCAAAACAGTTATGTGAACTTTTATATGGAATTATGTAAAGTTTTTGTATGGTTTACAAAAACTGCTAGATCTTTCTTTGTGAATTTTTTTTGTTTTTTTCCCCAGTGTTTTCCAATGTGTGTATGTGTGTGTCTTGCAGGATCTATTAGTGGTCAGGAATCTGAAGAGGTAAACTTGACCAGGCACACCCTGGAGCAGCCAGAGGACACAACAACAGCCCACAATGAAGCAGGCAAGAAATTCCATTCCCACCACAACCCTCTGTCTCTGTCATTCTCCATGTCATTCATACTGCTGCTCTGTCTGCCTAAGACATGAAACAAACAGTGTCTTCCACATGCCTAATTCAAAGCTCACCCAGCCTTCACTCTTAAACTAGAGTTCAGTTGTATTTATTGGCTTTTTGAGACATTTTGTTTAAAATTAATTTAAGCAACTTGTTTCTTTAACTAAGCATCTGTTGACAAGTAGGTTTCGTAACCTGGTTTCTGCCCATTGGTGACACTGAGCAGTAGTCAAGCACTTCTGTGTGAGGGCTTCTTTGAGAGGTCAAGAGCTTTATTTCAAGCAGAAATCTTCAAAGTGGAAATATGTGAGAGTGATTCCTACTCTTTAGTGGCCGTGCTCCAAATGACACAGCCGCTAACAGGCCTTTCGTCCAGGGAATGTAAATTAGCTGAAGTAGAGGGCAGAGATGTAAACTGTTTAGATTTGGAGATGGGGATATCCGTTTTGGCATGTAGAGGTTTTAGGCAGTTAGCACTACAATGCCTTTAGAGCCCAGATGAGTTACTGCTATTAGTCTGCACTGGGTTATTGAAACTAGAGGATGGTAGCCTGTGGGAACAACATGATCTGTGCTTGCACTGGGCATTTTGAAGGTAGGATGTCTCTTTTAGCCTGCTGCTATTATGCTGAAAAAAGATTTTTGCTTGATTACAGTGCAAATGGCAACACTGTTGTGTTGCATACTGTACTTTATAGGAATTCACAATATACAAATTCTGACCAATATCAATAAGCAGATTTATTTTCATGTTTCATTTCAAATTTCATTTTCATTTTAATATTCTGTACTATTTTTTTTATAGAATTTTCAATCAATTGAATATAAAACACAAAAAAATTAAATCAGTCATTGTAAATTGCTACAAATTAATTTAGGCATCATAACATTATAACACACAGTAGTACAGTATGAAAATGGATATTAATTTTGAGATTTGCTGAAGATTACATTTAACTGTGGTCTTAAGTTGTTTTTCATACACAATTTTTTTATTCAGTATAATCTATATACACTTTTTCAGTATATAATTTTTTTTGTTTGTTTTTAATACTTATGTATTTTGGACATGCAACAATGTTTATTATAGAACAACCATAATACGCATTTTCTTTTTCTTGTCCATGGACTGCAGATTAAATTTATCTCTGTAGATAATTCTAGGGCAGTCATGTCCATTGTCTGTTAAATAAAATACTAAATAAATAAAAATATTCAGTATCAACCGTTACTGATAAATAATGATACAAAAAATACTACTCTATACTGTATGGTACTGATATATTGTGCATCCCTAATATTTTTCCTTCAGCACTGAATGTTTTTTTTGTTCCTCTAGAGGGGGGTTTGCAGCGTCAGGGCAGTGCAGTGGAACAGCACAGCACCCTCTCTAATGACAGGAAGTTCATGTTGGATATGCTCTACTCCAAAAACAGCACCACTTCTGGAGGCCTAAAAAGTCCTGGTCTGGAAAGTGGACCACTTGAGGACCATGGGATCACCAGTATGGCCGGACGGCTCTCCAGACTGCAGTCTTGCACTTCTCAGCCCACAGAGGACACATCCAGGCGGGCGGACCTGGAAATCCCTGAAGGTACTGCTCAGGCTGCTCGTGCCAGGCTAGCAGAGGAACAGAGCAAGAAGCTGCGTCCACAGTACAGTATTGAATCGGAGACTCATTCACAGAGTTTAGAGAAGACCATGATGACGCCATTATCCAGGGGTAGTCAGGATGCCTGGGAGAAGCTGCAGCCCAGCTCCAGACCTCTGCGGATTAAAGATCTTGACTTCTCCGATCTGATGGAGGAGGAGGATATCGATGTGCTGGATATAGACACTTTTGACACTGGTTTGCCTAATGGAGTACCGCCGCCCCCTCCTCCAGTGCCAGGACTGGGCTCAGCTCCCCCACCGCCGCCACCCCCTCCTCCTCCTCCTGGACCTGCTAGTCTGGCTCCACCCCCTCCTCTTCCACCTCCTCCTGGAGGTTTGAGTGTGCCTCCTCCACCTCCAGGACTCCTCCCTCCGTCCCCGTCTCAAGGGAATGATCCGGCTATTCTAAAGAAACGGAAAATGGTCAAGCTGTTCTGGAAGGAGCTTAAGCAGCCCGACAGCCCCAGGAAGTGCAAATTTGGGCGGGGCACAGTTTGGGCTTCACTTGATAGGGTTGCAGTCGATACAGCTAAGCTGGAGCACCTGTTTGAGTCCAAGGGAAAGGATCTTCCAGTAGCAAAGGTGCGACGGGCAAACTTTTTTTTTCTCCTTGATCAGTATTTATTTAAATTATTTAATAATAATAATAATAATAATAGGAAGAAAAATAATAATTATTTTTATTTTTAATGTATTTTTACAAATTCATCCTTGCACATTTGTATGCATTTACAGTGAATGTATACAGTCTTATGCATCTTATACCTACAAGTAACAAATAGCATACGTATGCCAGACAACTCAAACTGGCAAACTTGTTTAAGAATAAAATATTCAGGATTACACAACAATAAATATTTAAAAATTTACTAAAGTTATTTTTCTATCAAAAGATGATAGGTCACCTCACTGGGGGAATACTGCTATTGAATATATGGATGAATAAATGTTAAAGCAACAACTTTTTTTTTATGGCCAGTGCATGCTAAAAATGGTTCTATAATTCTCCTACAGAAAGGTGCTGAGATCAAGAAAGCAGCGATTTTAGTGCTTGATCCAAAGAGGAGCAATGCCATCAACATCGGCATGACCGTTTTGCCTGCTATACATGTCATTAAAAGTGCCATCCTCACCTTTGATGAGTTTGCCATCAGTAAAGAGGGCATTGAGGTAATGTAGCACTAGCGTCCACCACCTGGGGGAAGTAGAAGCTTGTTTAATTTGTTTAAACATGCCCACATTTCTGTATTGAGCATACATCAGTATTTTTTTCTTTTTATAATTAATTATTATAAAATTAAGAAAGATTTGAAATGATTATTTTGTACATTACAAATCTGAAGTAAAATATCCTCTGCTTCTATCCACCTGTAGAAAATCCTGACCATGATTCCAACTGATGAAGAGAAACAGAAGATTCAGGAGGCGCAGCTGGCCAACCCTGATGTACCGCTGGGCACAGCAGAGCAGTTTCTGCTCACTCTCTCATCCATCAGTGGCCTCACGGCCAGATTACAGCTCTGGGCCTTTAAACTGAACTATGAGACCCTGGAGAAAGTCAGTGCCCTACGACAATTAATCCTCTTTTTATACTAAGTTTATACTTAGAATGAAAACCTGTTTACTCCAGTAGCATGATCATAATAAAAGGATTAATCGGCTAAAGCGTTACAACTATTTGTTAGTTCTAGTCTGTTGTATTAAACCATGCAGAGGTGACCATTTAAAAGTAATACAAATAATTTATTCCTGTGATGACAAAGCTGAATTGTCAGCAGGTTTTACTTACTATTTTCTGTAAACTGTGATGCATTTATTTCAGGATTATTTGATGAATAGAAAGAATAGCCTGACCCCAAACTTTCAGTAGTGTATTTGTAAGCATTAGATTATTGTTGTTATTATTATTATTATATATATATAAATCTGTGAAGTCTGCTGAAAATCTGTGAAAGCTGTATTTGAAGCAATTGTAAAAATGCTCATAAATGCACCTAATGCTGCATTGCTTGGCACCCTTAAAATTATACAGTTAATGGATTATATCAATTGTTCGAAGCATTGTTTACACCTATTATAATAAATGTAATTGTCTATAGAACATTAGTGTATTTTATCATATCATATTGCCAGTGTACTACAGTATAATGTCGAGATTCTATTTATCTATTTTGACATTGGAAAAAAAAACGTATTCACAGCCTCAGTGTTTCAGTATTGCATTCTGTCTGATCAGTGAACTCTAGTTCTGATAGTAGGAATTTAGTCATTTAGGCTTCTATAATTGAGTTCTGCCAACCATGATTTGTAGTGACTTTGTGTTTAGTGAGGCTTTCATTTCCAAACATTCGTTCTTAATTTCTCTCTTTCTGTCATTCTTCTATCCCTCACACATGAATGTTGCAGGAGATTGCAGAGCCTCTTTTTGACCTGAAACTGGGTATGGAACAACTCGCCAAGAACAAAACCTTCAAGCGTATCCTAGCAACACTACTGGCCATTGGCAACTTCCTCAATAGCTCCAATGTAAGTGCTCCATCTCCTCCACAGTGAGTCCTAGGAGCAGAGTTACCTTTAAAGCACCTGTATTAAGGGCAAGTGCTGCAGTCTGGAGCTTGATGGACACACGTGATTAGTCAGAGCAGCTCTGTTCTGATGCCTTAATCTTTTGCTTTTGCCTTGTGGAAGGTAAGATATGATCAAGACCCTGCATGGCATGTTTTCTGTGCTGAATAATGTCACAACCTCTTGAACTCTTCAAACTCGTATACACACAAGTAGTGAAGACACTCTGTACTACGATGTGTAGAACACTTTCGTTTTGAACCATGGCAGACAGATCAAACTGGTTTTTGATTTTAAAGGGATAGTTCACCAAAAAATGAAAATTGCCCCATGATTTACTCACCCTCAAGCCATCCTAGGTGTATATGACTTTTCTCTTTCAGATGAATACAATCAGAGTTATATTAAAAAATGTCCCGGCTCATTCAAGCTTTATAATGGCAGTGAATAGTGGTCGAGATTTTGAAGGCCAAAAAAAGTGCGTCCATCCATCATAAAAAGTGTAATAAAGGCCTTCTGAAGCGATTCTATGCATTTGTTATAAGGAATAGTTGACCCCAAAAATGAAACTTTTCTCATCAATTCAGGCTCTCTTAAGCTTTACTTAGAATAAAAAAACATTTCACATATTCAGAAATATCATTAGTTTTAATGAGGTCTTTATAGCTTGCTGTCTGTTGCAATGCCATCTTAAAAACTTGACCGTTAGCAGTTAATAACGGTTCAGTACATGATGTCCTTTAATTTGTGCCACTCGATTTAATGAGTAGCCATGTTAATATTTTTTTCCCACCAGTTGCCAACAAAGCTAATGTAGTATTTCATTGAACATCACATAATGACTTTAATTGGCACTTCTTGGCTCTCTGGCAGGCTAAGGGCTTTGAGCTCAGTTATCTGGAGAAGGTTACTGAGGTGAAGGACACAGTACACAGGCAGTCTCTGCTTCATCATACCTGCAATTTTGTGGTGGAAAACTGCCCAGATATGACAGACCTTTACTCTGAGATCCCTGCTATCACACGCTCTGCTAAAGTAGGTGACTCAGACGCTTCTTTATATGCATTTTTCATTTCTTTGTTCTGTTTGTCTTACCTTTTAGATGTAATAATGTTCAATTATTTATTAATTGGTGCTGGGATTTTCATTTCATTGCTCTCTTCTAGGCTTTTATAGTAGCCGTTTTTTTTTCTATAGCACATCTTGTAAAGGTCGCCATTGTAATTAATGAATAAACTGCTGTGTACATTGGTTTCTTTTTTGTTCTGTTTCTCCTTTTGAAGGTAACTATGCTAATAACACCGTTTACCTTCATAATTTATCACTACCTCCTTTCTTTTCCCACAGGTGGATTTTGAGCAGCTGTCTGAAAACCTGATTCAGTTGGAGAGAAAATGCAAAGCATCTTGGGACAACCTTAAAGTAGTGGCCAAACATGAAACTAAACCTAACTTGAAAAACAAAATGACAGAATTTCTGAAAGACTGTACTGAAAGGATCATCATCCTGAAAGTAGTGCATAGGCGCATTATTAATAGGTAATAAAAAAACACACTGTAATACATTTTATACTTCAACATGTTAAATTAAAAGATACCAACTTCATTTGGATGCTTCCCGTAAGTTGATGAGCTTCAATGATTGTGCCTAATTTTTTTAATTAGGATTAACTGGAGCATACAGTATATTACTTGTACTTCCTTCACTTTGCAGGTTTCATTCCTTCTTGCTGTACTTGGGTCAGCCCTCATACTCGGTGCGGGACACTAAAGTAACTCAGTTCTGTAAGATCATCAGTGAGTTTGCCCTCGAGTACCGCACCACACGAGAGAGAGTCCTCACCCAGAAACGCAAACGTGCCGTCCACCGCGAGCGCACCAAGACCCGGGGCAAAATGATCACTGAGGTGTGGAATGGAAGCTCTTGAGGAAAATCACCAACTTAAAACATACTTTGACTACACTAAGATGTCCTCTGATTTTAGTCCACTAACCTAATTCCACCACATATAATGTTTAAGTCTTTTTTTATATAATTTTTAAAACTATTTTAATGATTATTGCTCATGTACTTCCAGTTTACTGTTACGGTCTTGAGTTTACACATACCTTGTAGAATCTGAAAAATGTTAAAAAGCTTAACAAAATAATAGGAATAATAATAGCTGAATATTTATTTAAATTACCCTGTTCAAAAGTTTACATATGCTTGATTCTTAATGCTGTGATTTTTTTTATTATTTTTTTCCCTGGATGAGCCACAGCTTTTATGTTTTGGATAGTCCAGAGCAGTTCAACTGATCTTCAGAAAAATCCTCCAGGAGTGAAATTATTTTTTCAAGACAAGGATTTGGTTAAAGTATCCTTATTTTGTGTGGCTTCTGAAGGGCAGTACTGAATAGAAAAAAATTGCTCTTTAAACAAAATAAGAGACAATTTCACAACTTCATAATTTCAGTGCCATCAAGATCATTGCTAGACATAGTCCACCTCTGAACACTCCGCAGTATAAAGTATAAAGCATTTAGCCGGCCCCCTCAGCACAGGGCCTGGGACAATTTTCTCAGCTGTCCCTCCCCCTGACGACAGCCCGGATCGACATTATGCCACAAATGTTGTCAATAGTGCTTAACTGGTATTGAACTCAGATCATTCATTTGAGGGAATGAACCAATTCATGGTCCTCTCCACAACCCCACTGTATCACCCTCAATCGTCAATTAGTAGATTGAGAAAAAAACTTTACCAATAACTAATTATACTTTCTGATTCTTTTTTTTCTTTCTTCTCATAGACAGAGAAGTTTTCTGGAGCAGTTCCACAGCTGTCTCTGGAGGACAACCCATCCCCGGTTTCTTCAACAGTAGAATCAGAGCCAGCCCAAGAGGAGCATGAGAACATGAAAAACCTGCTCATTGGCGACAACAGCAAGCTGCGCAGGAGCCGTGCTGTACGAAGTAAGATACCACAACGCACAGCAAATCCAGGTTATATAAGAGTTAGCAGTTTAGACCAGTGTTAGTCCTCCTGCTTGGACCCAACCTTCCTGTGGAATTTAGTTACACCCCTCTAGCACACCTGGTTTAGAAACATTAGGTGATCCAGATTTGTTTAATTACAGTCACAGAAGTAACATCTGCAGGAAGGTAGATCTCCAAACCAAACTGAGAACTACTGTTTCAATCACAAAAAGTTTAGTTACCCAGCCCAGATGTAGCTTTTGTTTGTTTAGTTTTTTTATTCTGCTACAACATCTGTTAAGACAGTTTGCAATGGTTTGGATGATGATGATGATTATTATTTTAAGTTTTGTTTATTATTTTGTTTGTCAATTTGGGGATCTTTTATAGAGATTCTTACCACTGGTGGGGACACTTCTCCAATTTCACCAACTCTTCAGTTGAGTGATGAAGGTAGAGCATTTGGAGCATGGATGTGTGCAAAGATAAAGCAATTGTGCAGCTTTTAATATATTATAAAACTGTATAATTAATGAGAGCATTAAGGTTGGGTCATTTGATCTCACAGAGGGGCCTTATGACTTTGACAGCGCTCCTACTTCACCAGTAGAGAGCCAATCAGCACAGGATGATGATGATGATGATGAAGGTAGAGTTACTGCACAAGCTGCATGGAGTAGGGTTGGGTATCGTTTTTTTTTTTCCGATACCGGTGCCAAATCGATACTTTTAAAATGGTTCCGGTGCCTAAACGGTGCCTGAACTGATACTTATTAAAAAAATGAATAAATAAAAATTCCCCCAAAAATGATGAATTGGCCATTAGCACTGTAAACACATGATGTCTGTTTCATTCATACTGGACAGCTAAACTCAGGAAATCCCTTATGGACAAAGGCATGGCTATTATAGCTGTAATTTGCAGTTAACTGAGTAAACGGAACATATAAACGTTTTGAATGATAAAACAAAGACAATAAACACTCGACTGCGACAATATAGTTTATCTGTTTTATTCAAGCCATCTGGTATTTTCATAATAATTAAGTATATTTATAATCCATTGCTAATCGATGTATTTTTTTTTTTTAAGTAGCATATGGAACATATTTTCTGCCTCATTCTGTGACAAGAAGCCACATCAGATCACAAAAGGAAGCATTTGACTGGTGTTGTGGAGTAAAAAGGTTATAATGTTCTCTTTTGTTGGACAACAGGTTAGAAATGTGAATACAAGGGAGGTTTAGCTTTAGGCATTTTAATTTAAAGGGGTCATATGATGCTGCTAAAAAGAACAGTATTTGGTGTAATGAAATGTGTTTATGCGGTTTAAGGTTAAAAAAACACATTATTTTCCACATACTGTACATACCCATAGGCGGAATTCTCGGGGGGGGACAGGACCCCCCCCATCTGAGGGATGTCCCCCCTAAAAATATGATTAAAAACCACGCTGTGCATTGTAAATAACAATATTTTATACTTTAATAAATTGTAAGTAGTAAAACAACACAATCGGGGCAAAAATGCGTTTTAAGTTTTGAGTCTCCCCCTCCCTTGCCTCACTTTGGTCCAAATGCCTGCTTTCCTCTTTTACATCACCTACACACACACAAGTCCGGTGAGCGGGAAATTGTTTTTCACGTGCGGTGCCAGTGATGATGCTTCTTACATCCGTTTCGGAGAACCAGAGGACAAATATTTCAATCGATAGCTCAGGCATGGCACCGAAATCTGCGTTCGGATTCGGTTCTTGTACATACCGTTTACATGGATACCCATAGGCGGAATTCTCGGGGGGGGACAGGACCCCCCCCATCTGAGGGATGTCCCCCCTAAAAATATGATTAAAAACCACGCTGTGCATTGTAAATAACAATATTTTATACTTTAATAAATTGTAAGTAGTAAAACAACACAATCGGGGCAAAAATGCGTTTTAAGTTTTGAGTCTCCCCCTCCCTTGCCTCACTTTGGTCCAAATGCCTGCTTGATAGGGATGGGCGTATCGATCCGAAGTATCGATATATCGATACTGACGCGAGTATCGAAAGTATCGATACTCAAACAAAAAATATCGATACTAAGGTGCGTTTTATTTACCAGTGGTTTTGTATATTTAACAAAAATAATAATAATAATAATAATGAGTACAATATGCATTGAATTGGACGAATAACCTTTGTTAGCGAGTAATTGTGTAGGATAGAACTATTTTCCTGCTCATCTATAAATTTCATAATTTAAAAGTTTAGTGCAGAAGTATCGAATCGGTATCGATATCGACGATACTGCCTTGAAAAATATCGGTATCTTATCGAAAACAAAATAAGGGGTATCGCCCATCCCTAGTGCTTGAGGGAAATGGTTGCCAGGTTTTCATAACAAAACCCGCCCAATTGCTACTCAAAACTAACCGCGTTTCGAGGGGTCCCCCGGTAAAAATCGCGTTCTGGGGGCTAAAATACACGTTATTGGGGTCGCTTCAACTCGCGGACATGAAAAACAACCCGCAGCAACAGTGATAAAGCAGCCCAATTCCAGGGGAACACCGCGGACTTGGCAACACTGTGACGGCTACAACGGACACGAGCGCTGTCACGGCGCGACCACAACAGCTCAGAGTTGTCTAATTTGGCACGGCCTCCCTGCTGCACTAATAGTAGTAAGCCATTCCTCTGTGTATAAATCATAGGCGCGGGAATTGGGGGTGCTGCAGCATAATTTTCCCCCCGTTTTTTTCTGTGGGCAACTGTTTAACTGTTGGGAATACAAAAATCATTGGCAAAGGCTATCAGTGTTAAGTCTGACGTCACGTGTCACCGCTTCTATCAGATACCACGAGAAAACAACAAAAGGTGCTAATATACACTCACATGTGATATAATACTACCAAAAAAAAGTCTAATCCTAACCTTTTAACTCCATACCGAAATCCCAGATAGCCAGACAATGAAAATATAAATATAAATAAATAAGTATAAAAATTATTTGTGTTTGGGACGCTGCGAGCATGAAGACTGTAGTGTAGACCGTAAGTTTGAAAACGTTTAGCTTAAATGTTTAATATGAATAAACAGTGCTCATAAACAGCTGCTGAGGTAGTATAGAGAATGAGGGGTACATAGGGCGGTGACGTAACGTGCACGCTGCCGCCATCTTAGCAGGATTCCGTTGTTTGTTTACAGTCTATGGTTGATTTTTTTGTTGCTGTCAAGCTCCGTTGATTTAGTTTTCGCGATGCCTGGAAACTGCTGTTGTGTGGAAAAACTGCCATTGCAGGTCACACGACCTTCATGGAAACAAAATCCACAATAAAGAATGAGAATGTGACGTAACGCCGCGTTGAGTTCTGGGAAACTGCTTTGTTTATCCGCCATATTTGCAGGATAGCGCTGCCTTTCCGCTATTGAGTTTAGGGCAGTATTTGATTGTTTGTCGTGATTATGAAAAATGTCACCATTGTATGTCATTCATGCTGCATCAAGAATGGCAATAGTAACTCAGATCATCGTTCTGAGAGAAAACTGGACAATGCAATATGTTTTTTCACCTTTTCTATGTGTAAAAACACCAAGGGAAGGAGGTCGCGGAGAAGACGCCGAATAGTAAATCTGTTAATGTCACTGAATAAAACTCACTGACTCTCACTCAATAAAAGAATCACATTGCTGTGTGTTTTTGAAAGTTTTGATTGTGTTGGTTTAATAGTTGACATTACCTTGCGAGCACGACTCTCACCAAGTACTGCTCACTGCAGAGCCAAATGACCTCCAGCTCCCCCTCTCTGGATGTCCAGCTCCACCTCTGTTTGAACTAATGGGTGGAGTTATGTTTAGCGGTAGGGTTAGGGAGTGGTTGGGTGCCTAGCTCCACCCATTACATCCAGCGAGGGGGAGCTAGAGCTCCAGCTCCTCCCATTTGGCTCTGCAGCGAGCACCCTCTCACTCTCACTCCCACTACGCTTGTGAATTAGCAGAACTTGAACAGGGGACTTTCTAAAATGCTTAAAGTGGCTTAATGTACCAAGACAGTGATAAAGACAAACTTGTAAAGCATATACTATGTACAGATATGCATATAAGCTCAAAATGTGAACGCAACGCGTTTATTTACACGTTGAGCATTTTCCTCTCATATAAAAAACGCGCTTAATGCACCGAGACAGCACACACATCTTACTAATAAAGTATAATATGTGTAGAAAAACAGATGAGCCCAAAATATGAACTTTAAATATCACTGTCTTAATCCATAAGCGCTTTCTACATTACAGTTTTCTAAAGGGAGGAAAACGCTTTACGTTTAACATTTAAACACGTCGCGTTAATATTCTGGCTCATCTGAATGTCTTTTAGCATCACTGTCTTAGTACATTAAACCAGCATTTTAAAATGCAACAAAACTGTTCACAAGCTCCTAGGGATTTGATTTTGCTTGTGATTTGTTGAAATAAATATAAAAAGTACGTGACTGTTTGCTGAAAGTGACCCAATCTCTGATTCTCCTCCGTGGCCATGGAAAAATTAATATTTATAATGACAATTATACTTTGTCATTTAAAAGTTTCCAACAAAGAAATGGATCGACTTCTGCCAGCTTGTTGAACACACAACTTTATTTGGATAATGTACCATATGACGGCTGAAGCAGCAGCGAGCGTCTAGCGGGCGACACTGTTTTCACACTAATCAGGTAAACATTGTAAACCTAATTCTACAGAAAAAAATCAAATTATCATGCAGTGCGATAAAATAGCTTCTTCCCTGCAAACGATACAATGAAGAATGAATGATTGTTTAACTTAAAGGCAGAAACAAAACAAAAGATAAGCAGTTATCCTTATAGAGAATGAGAAGTAACCATGGGAACGGAGAGCGTATCCTGCTAATATGGCGGCGCCTTCCCGAAAAGCAATGCGGAGTGAAAAGATTGTGACGTAACTCCTCATTCTCTATTCTACGGTGGCCGAGAAGTGCAAAGCAAATCACAATTCTGAAAACAAAATAACAAATTACAAACGCAAATGCAAGTCTAAAAAACAAAATAACAATTCAGAAAGCACAACAACAATTCAGAAAACATTATAACAAGTCAGAAAACACAACGACAAATCCAAAAACAAATTTACAAGTCAGAAAACACAACGACAAATCAGACAAACAGCGCTGTCTATAGTTTGAGACAGCGCCATTGGTTTGGGATTACTCACCGCTGACTGGACGAGACATCTGTCAATCAACTTATACAGGGAAGAACCAGCCGAAGAACAGCAGAGTCGTGGTAGAAAGTTCGGAGATGGTATTAAAGTAGCTCAGTTTAAATGTATTGTATGAATTGCCCTTACTTTATTTTGTTTTTTAGACTTGCATTTGCGTTTGTAATTTGTTATTTTGTTTTCAGAATTGTGATTTGCTTTGCACTTCTTGGCCACCGTACTATTCTCAAGTGAAGCGAGTTGAGGCTTGGACCCGGAAACAGCGCTTCTTACGTCACCACTTAACAACACTAACTCCATCCACCAACGTGTGATTGGGCTAGTCAACATTCAGTTCCAGTGGCGCCGATGGTAAAACGTGTGTTATCCACCTTTTGACGCGATCGACCCGGGTTCGAATCTGCCTTTTGGCGAACTTTTTTTTCTTCCTTTTCAAATTTCAAATCGCATCAGAAAATCATTTATTTTTAATAAAAATGAAGGAAATAATCAAAAAGTTGAAAATAAAGTATCGGGTAGGGTTAGGGTAGGTGTAGGGAGGGCTTTATTGTACCAATAAGGTGGCATCCATTTAATAATTAAAATTAAAATGATAATTTACACTCAATACGTTATTATTGCATACTGTTTTATAATGTACTACAATACTGAAGTGCAGATAATTGCCACTATTTGCAACAAGTAGTATACTTGATAGTAGAAATCCTGCTATTTTTCCATTTAATAATTTGAATTAAAATTAAAATTTACACTCAATAAATTATTATTGCATAGGCTACTGTTTTATAATGTATTACAATGCTGAGGTGCAGATAATTGCCACTATTTGCAATAATTAGCAAAATATCCTGCTATTTTAATATAGTATAAATAGCTATTTGCACTTAGTGTAAATAGCATATCACAAAACAAATACTGATATTTTCACTTAGTGTAAATAGCATCTATCGCTAAGAAAATATGCTACCACACCCACCACCCCCACCCCGCGCGCCTTGTGTCTCCTTCAAATACTGCTCTTGAGAAATTTTATGTTTATTGTCCCCTCCTACTGTTATACGAAATTTACGCCCCTGTAGGTACTGGTGCCATATTGGTACCGGGTTTCAGTACCCAACCCTAGCATGGAGTGGGTTTGCTCAACTAACAGAATTATTGTAACTAAATAGTAAATAAATGATTTTTGAGGGGTAACTGACAAGACAGACATGGAAAAACCTGGATGAATAAGCCATTGATTTGGACTTTGCACCCAACTTTGTATTTGCCTGAATATCTGTGAACCTTTTACAAATGACTGATTTTCATTAGCTTGCCAAGATGTAATACCAACCTCATTCATTTGAACACTTCCTTTGAAAGATCTTGGAATGGTTTCTAAAGTAATTAAGTGCAGTAATGATTGATCTAATGTAATTTCTACACAGGTGTTGGCAGGGTTAACACAAACATGTCTGTAGCCAAAGAGGACAGCCCCAGCTCACAGGACGATGCCACAGATGAGATCATGGATCGTCTGGTTAAATCTGTCACCCAGAATCCCACAGAGAGGGCATCTAGTCCAAAAACACGGAAACGTTCGCGGCTTAACAGAAAGTCATGTGAGTACATTTTGACTGTCAACGCATTTTTTGTTGACCATTGAACTTCATAACCAGTTCTGAAGGTTGTTTTAGCCCTAAACCTGGAGGATGAGATTAAGGATTTAGTCACTGTTTGCATTCAACACTATCTGTGTCCAAAACACAATGTAATCTGGCTTCAGCCATTGCTTAGCTTTCAAAAGCCCCTAAATCTCCCTGTCAGATCCATATCGTGCCACCTCTTTACTTCTGCTTGTGCCAGATTGAACTGCCAGACATCTCAGAAATCGAACACCACAAAGAGTCTTTTGTAGGGCATTCTTGCAACTGTACTTTTAAAAATGGAAATTGAAAGCACACAAACCTCCAAACCTGAAAAATATTCTATGCAGCTGAGACCTCTTAGGTTTATTTGTAACATGCTGAAGCGGTCTATGGTATATGTCTTAAGGCGCAGTCACATTTACCATTGTTTCCAAATCCAGTAATTTCTATCGGTATATGAATTCATGTTATCGGGAATTTAACACAAGGGAAAGACTTCCGCATGTAGACTTTGCAACTGCTCAAGTTGGTAATCTTTGACTGCAAAACTTTGCCAAATATTTGCTAATTTGTCTACAACTTTACATTTTTTTTGCATTTACATTTATGCTTTTGGCAGATGCTTTTATTCAGCATGACTTAAGTTATATTCAAGGGACACATTTATCAAGTGTGAATCAAACCCATGACCTTGGCGTTGCTGGCGCCTTGCTCAACAGTTTGAACAACAGGAAAGCTTTTGGTTCATCAAAAGACGGTCTTTATACATGTGCAAATAGTTTTTGTATTATTTAGATGGTTTGACACTGAATTGCATGTTTTATATTACAGTATAACATAAAGTGTTGTGGTTTTATTGGTGTGCTGTTTATGTTGCAGTGCGGAGGACTCTGAAGAGTGGGCTGAGTGTGGACGTGGTGCAGGCCCTTGGCCTCGGCAGTACTAACGTGAAGGTCTGAAGCTGGTAGTTCTCATGTGGGGGAAACTGTAGCAAGACAGCAATGAGGCCCTAAGGAGAGCTGCGTTAATGACAGGAAGAACTGTGATAAAGACATTTCATGGGATGCCTGCAACTAAATTTGTCTGCCAATCTGAACGATTCAGTGGATGAATCATGTACTTCCAGTTGAAATACAAACAGCTGCATTACTATACAAATACCTGAAGTGTGTGCATGATGTCCTTTAGACATATCATGATTTGATTGGTACAAACTTTAATGGCATAGTATTAAATATCAGCCCATGTTTACTGATGGAGAATCGATGCATATATGATCCAGGGAATTAAAATGTTATATATTTTGACCAAATGCACATATTATTTTGTATAGAGCCTTAGATTGCATAGATTGGAGCACAATTTATCAGTCAAGGATATGTATCTAAGGGTTTGAAAGGTTTTAAGTTAATACTGCTTTTTTTTAAGACAAACCTTTTATATTTTAGCCATACCTGTTAGAATGGCTCAGCTCAAGGTTAGGATCATGGAAGCCAGTAATTGAGATCAGTGCAATAGGGTAACTCAAACACACTGGTTTCCTGTGCTCATTAATGAAGCTAAACCCTGGAATAAACGGCACTGTCAGTAATGATTGACCATTGAAAACTCCTTAGTCTTGTACAGGGTTTAATTTGTGTCTGGAAAGCTGACCCATGTGCACCTGGGTGGTGTTCAACTGAATATCCTGACTACCAAGGAGATCTTGATTAGAGAGGACATAAACTAGGTCACATTTGTTTTTCTTTTATTAATCACAGAGCTCTCTTGATAGGTTTGTGGATGCTACAACAGTCTTGTATTCTGCTGTATCACATTTCTGTCCTGATATTTATTATTGTGCATTTTTTTGAAGTTCACCTTTTTAGTTATACCATTGTTATGATGTTATAAAATATGTGCATGGACCACTCTGTTTCTTGCTAAAGAGAAGTGTTGCGTTAAAGGCACAGTATTTCTGACGCAAATTTTAAAAACTGTTACGAGCACATATTTTAAGGATTTTGTTGGTATTGCTTTTTTGCGTGGGGTTATGCTGTAGGAATTTAGAGTCACTATGAATCACTCTGTTGTTTTATGTTTGACCTTATTACCTGTCTGCATGAGTGCATGTGTTCTTCACTCTGAATGTATCACTATTAGCGTGTTCCATTGCTGGACGTCCCAGACACCTGCACAAAGAAAGTTTGTTTGAAATGAAACCGTTTGCAAGTACAGTGCTTCTAATGTTAGACATTATATTGTGTTTCAGAATTGTTTCATATTGACATGTTGGCCTTGAATCCAAAGACAGAGCTTTGTTTAAAATTGAATTAAATGTTTTATGAGACTTTCCCCCCGTTTTTATTTATTTGGTTATTGCCAATCAAACAATCAAGGTCATATGCCAGAAATGCTTCATTGTTTTGTCCTCCTGGGGGCGCATGTGTCTTTTTAAATTCAATTGAAAGCTGCTTTATAATTTAGTGATGATCTGTTATTTAGAATATACTGCGTAAAGGGTTCAATCGACTTGTTGGTTATTCTGTTATAAAAACAAATCTATTTCTCAATTATGTAATGTTTCGTGGCACATAACGCGCGTTTTGAATGCTCTGTGACTGTTTTGACGTGGATGATGAGTGACGGCTCTTTAATAAGGACCTCCTCGTGCGCGAACGAATCACGTGTTCCTATACGCCAGCTGCACCTTCGCGAGTTACCGGCAAGTGGAGTGTGTGTTGATGTTGTAAACCGGTAACGGGGCGTCCCGCGGAGGGCTTCCCATCGCAACAGGAGTGTATAAAAGCAATGGAGATGACACGCCGTTGAACGCCGGAAAGATGCGGGGCTTGAGTTTGCTCCTGTTCATAACGGTGGTTAGTGATGCAACGACTGACCTTTACGTGACCGCAGCATCGCTGCCGCCAGAGCTGGGGGTAAGCGCCGCACCTGCCGTCACATCCCCCGTCGCCTCCCGCTATATTCCTGAAGAGTATGGGCATCCCGGGATTGCGCTCGCCCGGTCTGCGGAGGAGCCGGCGGCGCCGAGCGAGGAGGACGGGGAGTCGTCTCATCACCACGGAGGAGGCTTCAAGATAGTGCAGTGGGAATGGAGCTACGTGCAGACACCTTACATTATAGCCAGCTGGCTTTTAGTGGCCAGTGTGGCGAAAATACGTAAGTTCTGTAATAATAATGTACGTTTTCGCGTATTGAACGAGTTGTTTTGACTGTGGTGTATAGACGCTACCGCTGGCCGTTTGGCAGAAAGTGTGTAAAGTTGACGTTCTTGAGGCCGTGAATATGTGTAGTGCGTTTTATTAAAGCGCGGCGCGGCGCATTCCGCAGATAGCTGTAAAACGATGCGTAAAAAGCGCAAGGCACCTGCGCTTCCCTTCCGCTGGCAGACGCTGGTGGTTGCCATGGCAATAAAGCCCATACATTTCCTCAGGGACATTGTGATGCAATAATAAAAAAGGGCTTTTAGCTGCACAGGAGACAAGCAAACCGCGTTAAAGGGACAGCACTGTTCTTTGCGGTTAGTGATGGGTTTCTATTTGTACCTGTAATTTTCTTGATTTTTCTTTGTTATTGCAATCAGTGCTGTAACACCCCGCGAGATATTTCTGTGCACTGTGAGCTCCCCGTGTTCCCACCGATCCGGCACCTTTCCAAAAGGCGCGAGTCTCCGCGGACAGTAGCGTGCTCTGATTGGCTAGGACTCCTCACCTTTCCATCATCAGTCTAGGCTGTGTTCTGCCGGTGATGGAAAGTTCGATTCTTGTCCGCGAATCGGTTCTTTCGAACTGTTTTACGAAGAACACGTTTAAAAAGCGATTCAGTTCTTCGTACCTCAGTCATGACATCATCATAAGGTCCCTGGCGTCGCATAGTGTTGTAAAACGGCACGGAGCTATTTATTGCTTTTTATTACGTTTTATTAATGATGATGCATATAGCTAACATATTTTCCCTTTTCAGTTTGTTGCAGACTTTGCAGCCATGCAACAACCTAGAGCCTCATTTAGAGCCTAAATATAATTAGCATTTACAATACTAAAATTAATTTGCTCTTGGCTGAAACAGTTTTTGCATTTTTTAATAAAATTTCTGTATTAAAGGGATTTAAAAAATAATCATAATGCTGTTATTTACTCACCCTCATGTTTTTCCAAACCTGTATTATCTTCTTTGTTCTGTTCAACACAAAGAAGAAGAAGAAGAAGAAAAAAAACAGGGTACACTGAAACACCTACAGTGAAGGTCCAATCCGTAAATGTCATTAAATGGTATATTCACAAGACTGTGTTATATATATATATATTATTATTAATCCATATATGGAAGTCAATGGGGGACCAGCAACTGTTTTGGGCCAGCATTCTTCAAAATATCATCTTCTGTGTTCAACAGAAGAAAGAAACTCACGCAGGTGAGAAACAACTTGTGGGTGAGTAAATGGAGACAGAATTTTGATTTTTGGGTGAATTATCTCTTTAAAACCAGCACTGTTTTGCGTGTGTATGAATAAAACTTTCACACTATCAAGTTATTTCCAGCACGTTTAACTTGCAACATTGCTGCTATTTGGTTAATATTTTTTCGCCAAAATCGATTAGTCAAATGCTACTACAGTCATCACAAGGTGATTCTTGTTTGGGAGTTCACATGAGAACTGTATGATTTTGTGTTATTCGTGAATGAATTTGACCTCTTTTGTTAAATGGTTCAATTGATTCATTGAAAAGATCCAACTCATAGGAATGATTTCTTTATGTGAGAGGTCTGTTGTGTTCAGTTGTGCTGCAGTAAGTAGTAAATTGAGAGCTCAGAGTGCCAAAAGTACATTATAAAAATATCTTAAAGGGGTCATATGATGCTATTTTAAAGATCATTATTTTGTGTATTTGGTGTAACAGAATATGTTGACATGCTTTATTGTTCAAAAAACACATTATTTTTCAAATACTGTACATTATTGTAGGTCCTCTATGCCCCGCCTCTCTCAAACACGTCGTTTTCAACAAAGCCCCTTCCTTTGACAAGCGCAGTCTGCTCTGATTGGCCAGCCTTTTGCTTTCGCACTGAAACACACAGCGTCTCCCTGACATGGCTGCAACACTACTGCTGTTCCTGAAACCACGCGTTTCTTTGCGTGCACATTTGGGCGGCATTATGCTAATATTTCCACATAGTGACGTAGACATGTGGGGGTGTGTTAGAACGAGGCTAGGTAGGCGTGGCTGACTCTTAACTTTTATAAAGAATATCTCTTTGGATTTGAGACTTTAGTCTTTACAACTTTACAGATCTTCTTTATGCACCAAGAGCTTGTAACACTCCAAAGAGAAAGGAAAAATTTAAATCGCATCATATGACCCCTTTAAGAACACAGGAGAATTCTCAGGCATGAAAAACATGACATGTTGTAATGGTACGTTCAACTTACTGATTAAATAATGAACCATGAATGCAGAATTCAGGATTTGAGGACAAAATGGTTAACAGAAAAACTCGCTGTACATTTTGTGGTGTAGTTTATTCATGAAAATACACGCATATATATACATACACAAAATGCACTGCCTCCTGTATTTGCATGTGTGGGTGTCTCTCAGGCATCTCTCAAGCTTGTATTTTTGGGTATGACATGCAGTTATATCAGATCATTTAGTTCTGGTAGCTCAATCATCTGTTTCTCCATGATTCAATTGCCACTGTAACACCATCAAAATTCACTCTGAATATTTATCTTGCATCTAGCGAAAGTAGCACTATCTGAAGATAGTGCTGAACACTGCACACAGTGTTCAGCTGACTTCAAGTGCCGAGTACACACAGCCTAAACTGGTGTTAAGAAAACAGTACAGCATGTCACCTACATAGGTGACAAAACCACAAAAGGCAAAGTGTTTTATACTGTCCTTAAACTACTGTAATGTATCATTATAGGCACTACCATAACATTGCATCAGTGTATTATTGAAATGACTATGGAGTAATTAGACACACACTTTTGTCCCACAGATTAGGGGCCTTATTACCCCTTACTGTAACATTGGCAAGTGTAATTTATGCGGTCCCCCATTCAAAAGTTTGGGATCTGTATTTGTTTTTTAAATGAAGTCCCTTATGCTCTTATTTATTTATTTATTTGCTCAAAATGATAGAAAATATTACTATTGTGAAATATTATTAACATTTAAATAACTTTTTCTGATTTTTAAATATATTTTAAAATGTAATTTATTCCTGTGGTGGCTAAGCTGAATTTTCAGCAGCCATTACTCCAGTCTTCAGTGTCACATGATCCTTCAAAAATCATTGATGCTCAATAAATATTTCATATTATTAGTGATGAAAACAGTTTTGCTTCTTAGTATTTTTTTGTGGAAACGGTGATTATTCTTTGATAAAATTTCAAAAGAACAACATTTATCTGAAATAGAAATCTTTTGTAACATTGTCTTTGTTTACCGTCTCGTTTGATGTCTTTCATGATATAAAAAAAACTTGAATTTATGCTCAGCTATTGCCAGTGCCAGTTATTGACACTGTCTGCCCATTAGTTCAGCTACAGACAAAAACAAACAATAAAATGCACGTAGTGATGATTATGATCTGTCCTGTCACTTTCACACTCTCATTTTTCAGAGTATTGCATTCAGAACACACTCTTTTCAAACATCCATTCTCACAGTTAAGTTTGAGTCATGGGGTTTTATACAAAGCACCATCCCATTACACACACACTTTAATTTAATGATAGGCCTGTTCTAATGTTAATAAAGATAATTGTAGTGGGACGGCACTCCACTCTATATTCCTAATTAGCTGTGCAAAAGTTCTCTCTCTGCCTGTCCCTGAAAATGAAGGGCATCGGTTTAATTGGATTTAATATTATTTCATTATGGTTGTAATTATATGTGGACTGATTATTAAAAGCTTATGTCAAGTAATAATTTAAAAGCAGGAGGTCTTGTGATAGAAATTATTAAGCAGTAGCAAGCATCATATTCACACATATGAAGGTCTTTTCTATTACAATAGTAAGAGGTTGGAGTGGCACACAGGTGTCAATATGAATGAAATGAATCCGTAGCACTGTGTATTTTATATCTATATAGGCTTGTTGTTGTTGTTGTTGTTTAGTGTTTGTGTGTGCACACATGCATGTGTTTGTGCAGATGTCTAGTATGCTTTTTTTGGTTGTATGTCAAGTGTTTTTCTGTCCTTGTGTGAATGACTCATGGTGAGCGGTGATTGTTATGTTTCTTGGCAGAGGTGTGCAGTGTGTTCTCCCTCCTCCACAAAATCACTCAAATCGTGGAGACATTCATAATTAGTGCCATTAGAATCTCTCATTATGCTGTAATGTGTTGTGATTTTACACACTGGCATTTCATGAGGACTACTTT